ACTGATTGGATGAGGCCCAGGCACACTAGGAAGTACAATCTGCTTTACTCTGATTTAAATGTTAAACTCACCCCAAAACACCATTACAGGAGTACTTAGAATAATGTTCGAACAAATATCTAGATACTCTGTGGCCCAGTGAGGTTTACACATAAAATTAACCATCACAGTAGTTTTAGTTTATGGCAAGTGTGAAAGAAAACCCCATTTCCCCGGAGGGGCGCTAATCCTCTCTTCTCCGGATTTCTGTTTTTCCTCTGGCTTTCATAGCTCAGGGTGTTTCAACTATGTTTCCCTTCAAGCCTCCATTTCCAGTTATTTTCCCAGAGACACACAGTTGAGCTTTACTGCAGGCAAAGTTAGCTGGGACAACTGCCTAGCTGTCTGCTACTCATGCAAAAAGGACTGTTCCCCTTCTTGGGAATACCAAATGGTGAGAGGGGTGGCCAATAAGGAACATCAGGCATCCTTGTTGCTGCTCTGATTTGTCCTAAACAGGAAAGCTGTACTCAGGCAGTGCTGACAATAATCTGTTTTTTTGGAGGTTTAGTTAGTGGAGGATTAAGGAACGTGTGGGTGAGAGGGTTGTGGCAGATTGCAAAAGTGGCTGCAGTTTTTCATGCCTGCATTTGACTCTGAAGTTGCTCTCATTCATAGGTGGAATTTATTCCCCGGCTGCCTGGATGCAGGCTGCCCCTGCAACTTGCTTTGGCAATGGAATGCAGTGGGAATGACAGTGTGCTAATTTTGAGCCCAGACTCCAAAGGCCTTGCATGCTTCCATGTTCTCTTTTGGAATCCTGCTCAGGAACTTCTGAACAAGCACAGGCTAACCTGTTGGAGGATGAGAGACTGCATGGAACAGAGACTAGCCGTCATAGATGACACTCTTCGAGACCAGCCTCTTTTAGCAGCCAACCACAGATATATTAATAAACACACCCAAAACCAGAAGAGCAACCCAGATCATCACTGATCATAGCCCCATCACCAACCTGCAGAACGGTGAGCTAAATAAATGGCCATTGTTTTAAGCCACTAAATTCTGGAGTGGTTTGTTACATAGTAAAAACTAACCAATACAGTTCTCATTTTATGCCGGGGGTGGCCTTCTATATATGGTTTCCCTGAGCGTTTTTGTGGCTCCCTGGTTTGGAGTAAAACATTAATAGGCTTTTTCTTCTGGCAAAATCAGTAAGTTTCTTCTCCCTAGCCTTTTTCTGGTATATATTCTGATTTAATAGCATAGCTCCGAAACCCTCACACTTTCCAAATGTGTATGGAATAGAGTTTGGTAGTAGGATCTCCAAATTTTAGCATAGAGGCACAGATGACATAAGCCAGTGAGAGAGCTTTGAATATCTGTTTAAGTAGCTCTTCCATGAACCCATAAAGAGTAAGAAAGCGTGAGTCTTGACTTCCCTCTTATCCTTGTTCAAGTAAACGCAGGTTCTAACTGGCCAAGTGGTCTGGGCAGTTGATAACTACACTCATTTCCTACTTCATTCATAATCTACTGCTGAACTTCTTTGACCTGAATGGTGTCACAGATTTGAAGAATTACAGAGTTATTTAGTGGAAGTGAAAGAACAATTTCAGAGGAGATTCATAGATTCTGATGACTATGAATCATACCTTAAGAATTTGTGGCTACCTTTGAAGCACAAAACCACAGGATGTGTCTGATTTATTCAACGTCTGCGCTGTTCCTGTGGTTCAGTTTCCAAAAGATCTGACTGAGCTGAAAATGAATGGTGCCCACCAAGAAGACCATTCATGAAAACTTTGTGTATATTAACCAGAATTATGCTGAAGTTTCTGGCCACACTGCCAAAATCTTGTTGAAGTTGAAGCTTTTTTGACTGAGTGGAACTGTTGCCATCAAAGCTGAGTCTTTCTTAGGGATACAGACTGTTACTGGGAAATGGGGTGTACCCTGACTTACAGTCTGGCTGAGATTCTTCGCCAGAGCTCAGTGTGAAAGGTTTTCTTATGGATTGATGGAGAGGTACAAGTGATTGCCACCTGACGTTTAACAACAGATTTTGGAATGTGTTAGGTTGAGTAAATTTTTTTTTTTTTTAGATTGCTTCATATTGAGAGAAGAGAAAATGTATCCCAAAATTTCCTCTAATTATAAGCCTAGTCCAGTTAGTGTACAAATCTGGCAGATGTTTCAGTGTAACAAAGATTAATGTTTTCGTTTACTTTACCTGATTTGTTTATAATAGTTTAAGAGTCTTAAATGTGAATTCCTAGGAACTTTGTATCAATTGCAGTGATTAACAAATTTGTTGGAGAAATCCGGTGGCTTTATGCTCCTACAACCTGCATATTATTGAAACATTTTTAATTATGATTGAGAAAAGATACTAGCCTTCAACTGACAAATCACTTCCATCCTTCATTGAAAACATCTTCCCCTTAGAAGCCTAGTTTTAGTTTGGCAGAGGAGAGAGGCTGTACCTTCCTAAGGTGTGACATTATACTTTTAGCTCAGCCAAGCCCAGTTTATTAGCCCTCCAATTAAAATAATTAGTCCAAAGGCTATTTGATTAGTTTATTAGTAATTATAGTAGTAAAGCAATTACATTTATTGAGCACCGGGTAAGACACTAAGTAAAATTAGCTACGCAGGCATCTCACTTAATCCTTGCTACAATCCTGTGGGGTGGATGAATTTTAAGATGAGGAAACTGAGGCACAGAGAAGTCAGATGACTTGTGCATGTGGTATAGCTAGAAACAGAATAGTTTGACTCAAAACTCAAAGCCATTCTGAACATGAAGTCTCTTACCTAAATAGATCATCTTATTTTATCAAAACACGAATGATTAATGGCAACTATTTTTGAGTAGGCAAAGCAGATGCTTAAAATTTAATATCTATCCTTTTAACTTGCGGTTAAGCAGAGTTCTATGTTGGCTTCTAGAACAAACAGACGATGGGGAATGAGGTCAAGTTTATCATCTGTGAAAGAAGATTTTAGACTCTAGATTCCATTCACAGCAGAATAGAAAACCCTAGAGGGAGGGGAGAGAGACATACAGAGGGAGAGAGATCAGAAGGGAATGAAAGAGAAAACCATCCTTCCCACTACCTAGAAACCACTGACTGTCCTACAAGAACCTCTCTTTTTTGTGGGTCCAGGACATGTCGGTGTCAGGGCCAGCTCAGTACTGCAGTTTCATTGCCTGAAAAACTAAGGGTTGAAACACATTTTAAGGTGTGGTCTCTATCCATTCTCATTCTAATTAATTTTTCGCACAACTGGTTTCCTTTGAGCTCAGTCGTTTGCCCCTCACGGGCACCTGCAGTGAGCCAAGTGCCTGTTAATCAACAGAGTCTGTGGACCCCATGTGATGAAAAGCCAGTGAAATTTAGGCACTTTGAACCTTCTGAGAGCAAGCCTCAGTGGGCCTCCCTTGCAGAACTGACTTCTTGGCTGGAGGGAAATGCACAGCCAATGTCTTCCGCAACCGAAATGTGTTCATGACATTTCCGTGTGCAAATATCCAATCCAGTGGAGCGGGCCCTCAGCATTGCAGCCTGTCTGGGCCTTGTTTTGCATGCTCCTTGCAGCTGCCTGGAGAGAGCTCACTGACAAAGGAGAAGGAAGCGCTCAGTTCACTAAGATGACTCACTCGGTGGCGTTTGCTGGGTGGTTCACACGCCCGCCTGCCTGCCGGAACAGGAAGGTCCTTATTGTGCTCAATTGTTTTCCTGAATGCCTTTCTCAACAACAGCAAAAGGAAACATTACTGTTTGGCTTCCAGCCATCCCGACCACTTGGTACTTACAGTGCTTAGAATGCAAAAGTTGGGCTCAGCCAAGACATGCAGAGGCGCAAGGCTGCAGTTACTTCTGTCTGTGTTTCAGATTAGCCGGCTGCCTTTTGCAGTAAACAATCCCGGGTGATTTAAGACAACGGGAACTCCCTTTACTAGCAGCAACCTCGACCCGGGTTTGACCATTTGTTTTATGGACTTGTTTGTTTCATGTCCAGTAACCCCTGGGGGGCCTTGACACCACCACCCACAGAGTCGCCTGAGTAAAATACAAAAGGCTCTGCCTGTCAGCTACCTCCTTCTTGGATCTGATTGCTCTGGAGGGACTGGGAGGGTGGGGACACTATGGCCTGGGGAAAAGGGAAGGAGGAAACCAGAAGGTTAATAGGCTAGGGAAGCAGCAGTATGGCAGTGCCTGGGGCGCTCCAGCCTCTGGCTGCAATCACAGGTGCAGTGCTGCCCAAGGACAGTGCCCTTGTCCTTCTCTTCCCCTCTGGCCACCTTGACTCGGCCCTTTGCCTATTCTGCAGCTGCTCAGGGCCAAAATTATGCTGTAGTTTATGGCAGAAGATGGGGCCTAAAAAGGGAGTAGCAAGAAATGTTTCTCTCCTGGGCTCAGTGTTGCTCAGGTTCCTTCTCACTGAGCCCACCTTGTCCTCGCGTCCTAAGCCGCTCTCAGCATTCTCTGCTCTGGGGCTTAAGCTGCAGGCCAGAGAGGGTGGGTGGGAAAGGTGAGGGTGGCAGGAGGAGGCAGATTCTGGCCTCTTCACTCCCTGTTCCCTTCCCTCCTTCAGTTTCCCCTGCACCAACTCTACCCACTTCCCTCGCCTGGGACCTGCCGCTCATAAGCAACTCATACTCTTAAATCCATACATCGCGTTTGTCCACAAATCATACTGTTGGTGTGTGATAAGCAGATGGAATCATCTCACTCATTTCTTGAGGCCAGAGTGAAAACCCTCATTACAGGATAGATATAGCCTTTGTCTAGAAGTCCAAACTCTGGGGGGTCAGGGGTGAAGGGGGGAGGTCTGAGAACCACAACCAATACACAATCTTTCAAATGTTGGAACCATTGCCACCTTTTTATTAATTATTATTTTATTTTTTAAAGAAATATCTGTTTTAAAATCTCTTGGAAATAACATTTCATGGACCTAAGTGAGGAAAATGCTAGTCTCTATAGATTTTAACATTCTTTATTCTCTTTTAGAAACAAAAGAGACCCTCAGAATACTGAAGTCAGAAATGGGCAACATTTAACCATGTGGGAACATGATGAGTAAGTGTGTATAAGAAGCATCATCTTTCAACTTCCTGCCCTCTTATGTTATACTCTGAGCAAGCAAAGTGAAAGGTAGAGTGCTGGGTAGACAGAGGAGAGGAGGGATGTGCTAAGTAGATACTCAGGTCGTGGCTTGGGTAACCACTAAGTGATGATTAACATTCACCAAGACTGGGAACAAGGAAAGTGGATGCATTCTTTGGAGGAGAAGGAAGATAGTGAGCTCGTTTTGGACGGGCTTTAGAGATACCCAAGTGGAAATCTCCACTGGGCAGGCAGATATAAGAGTCTGGAGTTCAGAGACATCTAGGCTGGAGGCATAACTTTGGGTCAACAGAGAATGGAAGCATGAATGTGTATGAGCTCATTGGAGATGACGGTTCAGTGTGAGAGAGGGTCTCAGCTGGGCTGTAAAGGGAGAGGGGACGGAGACCAGGCAGGGAGGCTGCAGAGGTGAGAGGTGGGAGGAACGTAAGAGGCAAAGTGCACTTGCAGTTAGTTTTCAGCAGGTGCACGGAGCCTACCTGGCCCACAACCCGGCAGGACAGTGTGGATTCACAGGGAACATGTAAACAAGGCCCCATTTTTCTTTTAAAGTAATACTTTTCATTTGCATAGTAAAGTAGACTTTCCAAGGTGTGTTTTCAGTGATTTTATTTTTTAAAATCACATGCTTATTGCAAACCAATGAAGAAGTCGTGGAAGGGACTTAGGAGCCCCTTTTCAGTGATAAGAACACTGACGCTCGTCTGTGGGAGGGAAAGAAAGGGAGATGAGAGTTCATCGTTACTCAGCACTAGCGTCTTCACAGCTCTTTGTCGTTACTTCGCTTTTGGTTGACCCATTGTGCCTTGTCATCTTGTGAATACACCTGTTCCTATCTTACTGGATTGTGAAGTTCCAGGGGTCAGGAATTGTGTCTTAACTCTCCCCACTCCACTTTCTCTATCCAGCTTTGCTTCGGAACCCCGAAGTATCTGATAAATTGGGGGGATTGATTCAGTGACGGGACAAAAGCATTCATGGTTTGAAGCCTTCATCTGCGGCTGAGCAGTGCCTTTCGCTACTAAGCAAAGATGGCAGCACTGAATAGGGGATTTTGCAATGACCAGCACTCGGAGAAAAGCAAGAAGAGATTCATGAAGGCTGCAGGGAATTCGGCATGATCAACTCAACAAATACTTTTTGGGTCACTATGTGTTTTTGCAAAATCTCCTTTTTTTGATCAATTTGTATTTTTATATAATCCCCTTTTTTCAGGTCAGTGTGTGTTTTTACAAAATCCCTTTTTTGGATCACTATGTATTTTTACGCAATCTCTCTCTCTTTTTTATCGCTATGTATTTTTACACAATCTCTTTTTTCCCTTTCCCTTATCATACACAACTACATGGGAATCTGCTTTTGAAATTGGAGAAGGGAAATGGGGAGCAGCAGTCTTCTTTCATTGTTTTAGAGTTTTTTAAAATCTCACTTAAATTTTTTTAGCATTATATTTTGTACAATTTTGAATTTATTTCTCCTGAGTCTAGACAATCGATGGATTCTTGTTATTGGCCAATCTCTGCCATGGGATATGATAAAAGAAGGCAACTAATATAGTACAGGGAAGAGGACATAGGCTTTGGCCTTAGTGGATCAGAAGTGGACCTCATGTGACCTCAGGCAAGTCACTTGCCTTGTGCTCTGTTGCCTTATCTGCCGCCTTAACAGGGCTAGTAATGAGAATTAAGTGAGATAAGACATAAAGCTAGTGAGTAAGGGCATGTAAATGTTTGTTTTCTTTCTACTCCCTCTATTTTTAACCCTGACACATATTTATCATGTAGCCTTGACAGGGCTCTTTCAGCACTTGGCCATAACAGTTTGTATCTGTCATTTAGTATTTTTTCCTTTTTTCCATTAGCTTGTGTTATCCCACAATAGATTCCAAACACCTTGTGGATAGAATTATATATTTTATTTTTTTAAGTGTCTTTATGCCGAATCACCTACAATCATGCCCATCACCAAGTAGCAGCTGGTGAGATACTTTTTAACTAAATTTTCTTTATTTCGGCTTCATCCTTTGTCAGGTGGTGATAACGACAGCATTTGTCCCTGTGTAAGAAACTAATGAGAAATTTTAAAAATCTATTAAGTGCCCTCCAGTATTCATGGTGGAGACCTAAGGTGGTGCTGTTGTTACTATTGATTTATCCCACAATTTCCCTGATCAGCAGCCACTCGGATCTGTGCTCGTCACTCTTCTCCTTACGTGGCAGGAATCCCAGCACAATCAGCACGCTGGCAAACAGTAAGGTTTGTGCAGAAATGAAAGTCAATCAGAAATAAAGTGACTACACAAGTTGTCCAAACGGGGACACATTTGAAAGTGAAAGGGGGAGCTATTCATGATTACAAGTAGGCTCAACAGCGGTCAGCCTGGGCTGTGCAGGGCAAACCAAGGTCACCTGGTTATAGCAGATGGATGCCAAGGTTATCACAGACTGCCTTGTCACACTCAACCCAAACTAGCCACATTCCTGTGAAGCAATTATAATGCTAATTGAATTTTGCATGCATTTAATATGTGCATGTTTTTACCACTGTGTAAATGTGGCACTATGTTGTGTAAATTAAGCATATTATGTTGGAGATTCCAGGTGTAGCAGGAAAGACATTACATGGTCTCTTTTAATCATGCCACTCACAATTTAATGAGAACCTCACATGCTGAGCTACTGATCTATGTCACCACGTTTCTCTCCTAAGCTCCCTGATATTTCTCCAACCCCTGGGCAGTGCAATGCCAGCTCTAAGAATTTTGTCTGAAAGGCAACATAATCAGTTTTACGCCAGAAGATTTTACTACAATTTACTTGTAGAGTTGGGAGAGAAATGTCTTTGCATACCGAAGATGCAGGAATGAACCACTACAGTTTTTAAATTCTTTACATTTTTTATGAATTGCTTTTCCTCATTTTCTTAGAAGCTGTCTCTCTGAGCATTTGTAATGTCCTCAGTGATTCGGCAAATAGCCATTGAAGCCATAAGTCTGTCTGTCAGGAAAGGCAAATAAATCCACAAAGAATTTGAAAGAAAGATGGATATTTACACTGAATCGCATATGAGATTATTTCCTGTTTTTCAGATGGAAATCAGATGCCTTCTGATGCCTAGCCACCCAGTGAACATCTTTTTATAAATAGAAATGAGTTTCTTGGCCAATAAAGGTGAGACCCCCTTTTACCATTTCCCGTCTAGCAATAAAGTATTGTGGGCTGAATGAAGAGCCCAACAATCACTTACAACAATGTCTCAATGGGGTGTCCATGTATGTGTGTCCATGTGAATCTGTGAGTCTATCCGTGTATAAGCGTGCCTATGTATGTTCATGTGTGTCTGTGTGTGTCTATCTGTATGTGTACCCATATGTCCGTGTGTGTCCATGTATATATGTCCATGTGTGGCTCTGTGTGTGGCTTTCTGTATCTGTGTGTCTGCATGTGTCATTTGTACATATGTGTTTGTCTGTGTTTGTGTGTCCATGTGTGTCCATGGCTATCTGTATACGTGTGTCTGTGTGTGTCTCTGGGTGTATCTATCTATATACAGGGAATCCCAAAATTTTAAATCTTGTAAAATTTTGTGTTGAATATTTTGTAAATAAAGGCACAACTGGCTACAATTTCCCATTTTCCCTATGTATGGTGACTTTTGGGACACCCTGTATTTGTGGCCACGTGGGTCTGTATGTCTGTGTGAACATGTGTATCTATCTGTATGTTTATACATGTATGTGTGTCCACATCTGTGTGTGTGTGTATCTCTCTGGTATGTGATTGTCTGTGTGTCTCTGGGACGTGTCTGTGTGTGTCTGTGGGGTGTGAGTGTATTGAGACTTTGCTCTCATGATTGTCTCCCTTATTCTCACCTCAGCTCAGGAAACCCTTTTCAGGGGCATCCCTCCCTCTCTTGATTTGTTATGTTTTCCTCAGAGGCAACACGCTACAGGATGTCTGCCTCAGGGGCACTAGCAGAGATCTCTTAAAGAGTTTAAATTCTTGGAACCACAAACGCCTAGAAGATTCTGCCAGAATTCCCTGGGAAAAGGGACTCTGGAACGACTCTTTGCTTGTGTGAGGAAATTAGTATGAGGTAAAACCAAATAAAAACAGACTCAAAAACATCATTTTGCTGCAGGAACGGAAGAACTAATAGCGGTCAGTTACAAGGCGAGACCTGCACTGGGCCCTGAGTGTGCAGCCGCCGTGAGGGAGCAGCACGGAGGAGCTGCCCTCTTCCGCCAGTGAGGACAGCGCCACTCCCGCTCGCGTGGGCGTGGCCAGGCCAGGTGAGGCTGCCTCTTCACGGGGCCCCCGGGGTGGTGACCCCTGCTCCGTTGTCACAGTCTTCACCTAGTCCTCAGTGAGGCTGTGTTGCCCCGGCCAGGGCGAATCTGCTAAGGGCTGCGTGGCTGAGCCACTTCTGTACGTTGATGCGCCCCCAGCTGATGACAGGAAGGCTGTGTGGATATTCTGCTATTTTCTGCTTCCGTCACAATTATTTTCCAATGGCAAAGATGCAAAAGGGCGAAAGAAAGGCATTAAATATAAAATTAAATAATGTGCCACCTATCGTATGCACGGTCACTGCTGTTCACCGGGCAACTCTGAGCTTGACTTTTCCATGCAAAAAAGGATTTCTTTGTCCTTTTGTCTGTCTGTCTCTGTCAGCCTCTGCCATTTTGCCTAATACAACTACCACATATTTCCCCAACCTAGTACCTCTTACGGTGATGGAATACTGGCCTTTCGAGTAATGGGCCCCAGACTTGGGCCCCAGTAAGACTGTGTTCCCACCGTGGTATGCACATAACCATCCCTTCCCCCCTTTGGTTTTTGGGGACACTACATTCAGAGTTTCCTCTTCCTAGAATAATAAATAATTAAATGGGAAAAGGTTTTCTCACCTGCCCTCAACTATAGATGAAACAACAAATAGGCACATGTTGTGGGGTGATGAAGCTTGGTCATTGCAAGAACTTTGAAAATGGTACCAGTGTCATGATGCACATAAGAGTCACTGTCACATGGAGTCATTTTACGGGTGTTAAAGCACTTTTGCATATGCACCTGTTGATTCATTTGAGCTTCACAGCAACATACTAAAATAGATAAGGCAGGTATTTCTTGTTTTATGATGAAAAGATTGGGGTTCAGTGACTTGGCCAAGGTCACATGCTGCTTAAGTAAATGGTAGACTTGGAACTTTGGCCTAAGATCTCTGACAAACAATGCTTACTAGAGTCACATCAGTTTATTTCTTCATTCAAGCTTTTATTGGATAAACATATGTAAGTGGTTTTGCACACTATACTATTTTTGATAGGTTTAATGCCCTTAAAGTTCTGATAGATTGGCTTATAAGGTAGCTGGTGTGCACACCAGCTGTGTTTAACTGCTCAGCATGTAGCCCTCTCAACTTCTTGTAACAAAACACTGATTTTCTTTTGGGACCAAATTTTCCTCATTATATGCAGATTTGGTAGGACAGTGCCCTGGGTCCTCACTTGTCTAGGGCTGAGCAGAATTGCTCAAGTAGACTTTGTCTTGAGAATTTGAATTTTTGGCACAGTGACTTGAGGGTGGAAAAATTTCCCCATTCCATGGTAGAATCCCCCAGAGAATGACTATTAGCTTCTGCCACCCAGATCTTTGGAGCTTCTCTGGTTCTGGTCTTGATCCTTTCTGAGGTCTGTATGATCAGATTTTTCTTTGAGCTTATGAATTTCCTCATATTCTTCCAATGAATTCTTTTGTGGTTAGTTTAGCCAGATTAATTTTAGTTGTGTATACCCATAGGTGCTTAACATATAGAAATTATGAAAGAAAAGTAGAAATAAGATTTCTTTTGTGTGTGTATGTGGCAGATATAACTCCTGGCAGATACATTCCGTCCCTTCTCACTTTCATGGAAGGAGGATACTTCCCCACTCCATTAATGTTGGATTTGGCCATGTGACTTGCTTTGGCTTCAGAGTGGGCAGAGAGTATTTCCTTACCCCTTGATTTTGGGTTTAGAATGTTATTTGCTTTGGCTAATGGGATGTTAGCAGTTGTGACTCAACAAAGGCTGGGAGTCCTCCTGTGGGATAAGTCTTGGGTTCTTGCACCTCTGCTGTGGCCATGAAAAGAGCATAACCAGATGCGTCCACAGGTTGCAGAAGCAAGATGAAACACACCTTGTGCCAGCCACCCAGCCAAGCTGCCCCCGTCTACATAAGTGGAGCCCCCCCACTCCCATCCGGCCAACCCACAAATAATATGTGAGCTAAATAACTGTTTATTGTTGCATACTACTGACATTTTTTTTTTTTTTGGCTGTTGATTATGTGAGAATTTTGTATCAATTTTAAACCAACACAGAAATTTGTATTAATCAGTGGTGTGCTGGCTATGAGAAAAACCTAAAATATGTGGGACTGGGTGATGGGTATAGGTTGGTAAGATACTGAAGAAATCATCATAGCAGCCTGCAAAAATGGAGACTCCTGTTATGTAATTATGAACCATCTGGTATAACTGTCCTCTCTGGTAAACTAGAAGATAGAAATGTAACCAATGAACTTATAAACTTGGGCAAGATAGTTTCTATGAGAATGTTGAAATATTAGCTGGTTTCTTTTAGCTACATATGATGAGCTCAGAAAATAACTAGCTGGGTTTGCAAATAGAATGTCAAGGGACTATTGAGAGCCCAGAACTTGCTGGTTTAGGAAAAAAATTAGTCTCTTGCACCATCTTTCCATTCTGTAGAAGAGTCTTAAATGAAGACATAGGCTGAACACATAGGTCAAGTTTAGGCACTCCAGCAAGACATGGCCTTTCATTCTAACTTTTGCTCTAAGGCTTAAAGACCAAAGCAAGGGTTGGGCTGTGACGACTATTAAAGACCTGTGGAAGGAATAAAATGGAAAACCCATTCCACTAGAGCACCCTTTCAGAAGGACAAAAAAGGTATCTTAGAAATCTCAAGTGTGTCTGTGGTCCTAGCAGCCCCGATATTCCACGGCCAGGAATGAAGTCAAGAGAAACGTGTCTCAAAAAGCATGGTGGATGTGGCCTTTGGAATATGAAATAGACAGCAATAGCTAACAACATGTAAATATAGCAGACATTTATTTATTTTAAAATGTTTTTAAAAATGCACTTTTTTTTATAAACTCAAAATCACTAAGCAGCTAAAACCTAGATATTCACCTTGTGAAAATCTGCCCTGAGAACATGCACAGTAAAAAAACCTGGAAATTCTAATATGACAGTATGTAAATTAGAATGAAATGTTAGATGTTTCCTTTCCAAGCCAGGAATGAGTCGAGATTATTACAACTGTGAGTGGACTATAAACACATGAGGTTTGCAATAATAAAAGGCAAGTATCAGTGATGCAGACAGATAGTCACATGGCATATGATAAATATCAGGAAACAAAATTAGAGTAGGAAACCCAGAATTAGAGACAGATGAAATAACAACACTTCTAGTGAGGTCTTTGAAACTGAAGAGACAATGTTGAAACACAAGGAAAGTCAAAAATTAAAGTTGGCTGAAATGAGGTCTACTATGCCTTGGTTTTACTTGGGTTCAGTTCTTAACTTTCTATTCCCAAAACCACCAAAATTTACAGGGTTAAAAATAGGATTACTGTTCTAATACTATAAACAAAATAACCTTAAGAATAAAAAAAGTTGGTTCGGCCGCCTTTATCTTTTGCCAATAAAAATTAAGACTAGTTTTTTTTTTTCCAAATTTTACATGTTCTGTAAATATAATTAAGCTTCTCAAACTTTTCTATGTCTATAGGTGGATTATAAAAATGAAAAACAATAAATATAAGTTATGATGTTATAGTAAGTCTTTGCTGAACTAAGTATTGCGATTGTTAATTAGTTCACTCACTAGATTAAAGAGTCAGCTTACTTTGGGGAGTCATACAAAAATAGTACTTACCTTTCACATATAAATGCATATTTATTTGCTCATATTCTAATGTAAGGCCAGAGACCTTTTCTTTTAGCACATCTAATAATCATTATGAGAGATTTGGAATATTTGAGTCCCAACATCTCTCTGAAGCAGGCTCTGCTTAGAACAAAATATTTTGGGTGGCTATCATGCCAAATTCCATGAATAAATAATATTGTCCAATAATTGACATATGAAATGGCATGAAAGGAAAGTTTGTCTCAAAAATGTCTTTGGTGTATAATTATTACATTTCTTGAGTAAGTGCTGTGTTAATATTAATGACATTGGTTGAATAAATATGCATGTGTGAACAAAGCTATTGCTTTTATGCTACAAAAAGCCTCATTTCCTGGTATTAAGCAATGGCCAGCAATAATGAAAATGACAAATAATACTAAAGCAATAAAAATCCATATTATCTGCGAAATAACTGTACAGTTTATATGTCATGTGGCAACTTCCTCTGCACGTAAAATTTCTTTATTGGGCTTCCATAGCATTCCTCTGCAGAAGTTTCAGTCCTCACTCCCAACCCCCATTCTCATCTTAAAGGTGAAGAAACTGCTTTAATAAACAGTAGATTGAATTTTTTGCTCTATGTCACACAAACAGGTTTGGAGGTGGATTCCAGGTTGGGCAACTTTGATGTTCTGAGCTATTTTAAAGTAGTGTCATCTAAACATGGTTTATTTTTCATCTCTGTGGTCCAAGTAATGATATTTGATGGGAACTTTTTTTTTTTAAGTAGTACTATCAGGACAGAGAATAAATTCATGGATCCTCCTGGAGCCTTGTTATTTATAGGCGGTAATTTGGAGCAACCAGTAGAGTCCCAAGTACTTTTTTATATACAAAAAACACCTGTGTTCCCAATACCCAGGAGTATACTTTGTTAGCCTTTTCTCATGTTTGCCTCTGGTCTTTTGTTTTTTATAAAATAAATAAAATGGCCTTAATTCTTTTTAATAAAATTTTACACGTATAAACTAAGAACAAAGAACTATTTTGACAGTGTAGAGTTCTAAGAGAGAGAGGTCCAGATTAAACAAGCAGCAAGCGCCACTACATCTATTGCCAAAGGAACAACAACGCTCGAGTGATGTTTTCCAGGCAACCCCACGGCATAAATCTTTAATCCCGCTGCCTTTTATGTGACATTTATATATAAAAACTGTTTATAGAGCAATGTAACCTTTTCTTGTGTCCACTCGGGTTTATCGAGGCTGTCAGTGCTTTGGTTCTTACGCTGTAACTGCTCACACTATGTCAGCAAATGTGATCAACGCACTTTGCCATGGTTCTTTGTTTGGATTCCC